TCAAGATCCACAACCTATTCCGTGATCTCAAAGACGATGTCGCAGACGCAATCGATCTCGTGTCAGGGCGCGGCGCCGCTGAGGGAAGCTGGTCGGGAGATGACCCGTCGCGTTCCGAGGATGAGACCCCAGCGTCTACAAAATTGCCGCCACTGCACACGGTCGTGGAAGTCGACAGCACGCCCCCCTCCCAAATGTCCGTGAAATTGCCGCTCATTGGACCATTGCGTGGCCTCTTCCGGAATTCCGATGCGAACGACGGCGACGACAGCAGTCAGAAGGATAGCTCCGCGGGCACGAAACTGCCGCCGATACGGCAATTCAAAAGGGTGTTCCAAAGGATCGAAGACCAGAGCGACGACGACGATGAGACGGCGCCGGAGGTGGACACGTCGCGATCGGAGCAGTCCTTTCTGGGCACGCCGGGGAGACTGCCGACGGACTCGCGCTTCGCGGCCATGGACGACAACGACGAATCGCGCAGGTTCGTCACGAACCCGCTCCACGATCGACGCCGCAGCGTCGTCACCTCCATTCTGCAGCCATCCGTGATCGGCTCCAACGTCGATCGAAAACGGCGCAGTCTCATCCGACTAAACGAGCGAGCGGAGCAGGCCTTCGGCTTGACGCCCCGGGGGCGAGGAGAAAGCGACACGGAGCCACTCCTGGACCTTCTCGCGGGCCAGGACGACCTCTCACCCATGAACCGCACGCCGCGGCGTCAGAGTGTTCTGAACAGGTCCAAGACCGGGGAAGTCGACAACGGCGATGTCGATAGCAAGCCGCTCCTCGGCATCGAAGGCGACGAATGCAACGACCCCCTCGCCGCGTGGGGTGGAACGCGTCCGCGGAAGCGTAGCGGGTCCGACCCGACCGTGGACGTCAAAGAGCTGATGAGGATGGTCCAAGCTGGCGAGACGCTCGCGTCCCCCAAGCCACCCGCGCCGCCAAACCCGGCTCGGCCTTTGGCGTTGCGCGTCGTCTGTTGGGTCCATGGGACTCTCCCGGAAAAAGTCCGCGTGAACCAGAATCCGTCGCCCAGCGTGACCATGAACCCGGGCGGGACCGAGGCGCAGCGCTTCACCTTCGACGCGGTCTTCGAGGGCGACGAGGAGGGACTTCGGACGACATTTTGCAAGCAGCTTGTCGATGCCGGCCGAGGCCTCTTCATCAGCGCTGGCGCCCCCCCCCCGGTTGACACGGTGGCGTGGTTCGCGTCCCAGTGCCCCGCGCCCGTGACGGCGTCGGTGCTCGAGATCCGGCACGAGGCCACCTGGGACGCGGGTGCGGACCCGCCCGCGCCGGTCGCGGGAGCCGACGCCTGCGTCGCCGTCGACCCGGCGTCTCCCGCGGTCACCGCCCCCCGCGCCGGCTCGCACTCGATCGTCTTTCTCTCGTCCAACGGATCGCCGTCTCTGGCCATTGTGGCACTGTCGACGGACGTGAACGACGTCAAAACGAAGCTGGGCCTCGCCGCGCTTGACAACGTCGTCCGGTCGCTCCGCGCGGGTCATTCGGGAAGCGACGTGCCCTTCCGCGATTCCAAGCTCACGAAAGCGCTCAGCGAGGGCTGGCTCGACGGCGACGCGGTCTTCTGTCTCTCGGTCGACGCGACCACCGCAGCCACCAGCCCGGAGGTCCAGAACATGCTCAAGTACACGTCCCGCCTTTGTTCGAAGAGGCCACCCACGCGCGGCGATCGTCTCCGGGGGTGACCCGGGTATGTTAGGCATGCCCCCGGAAGCCGTGGGCTGCGGGGGAAGGGCGTGGCCTGGCGTCGAGCCGCGAGTGGCGCGGCCCCCGGTCCGCCGCGGACTAGTCCTTAAAGAGGTCGGCGAGGTTCGGCGCCCCGAGGCCGCCGCCGTCGGCGGCCGGGACGAGCCTCCGGGCGCCGGCCATGTCGCCCGGGAGGTCGAGGACCGCGGGCGTCGCGCCGCGGAGCGAGGACGCGTCGACGCGGCGGCCCGCGGGCGGCGGCGGCGCGGGCCCCGGGGGGCCGCCGCCGCCGTCGTCGGCCCGGGGCTTGGCGTTGAGCGCGAGGACGACGAGCTCGTGGAACGCGTTCTTCTGGTCCTTGTGCGCGGCGACCGCGCGGAGGTCGTCCTCGAGCCGCGCGACGGGCGCGGCGCCGACGCCCGGCAGCGCGAGGAGCGCGCGGCGCGGCCCGTCGTGGCGCGGCGGCGCGGGCGGCGGCCGGCCGAGCCGCGCCGGGTCCGCGGCGAGCACGAGCGCGACGTAGACCGCGCGGCAGAGCGACAGGAGGTCGTACTCGCAGCCCGCGTTCGCGAGCCACGCGGGCTCGCCGACGAGCGCGCCCAGCGCCTCGT